TAAATATTATATCAAATGGCTAGTAAAAATATTAGCTATTGCACAGTTTTTATTCGTACAATATTAAAATTTCCAGTTTATAACTCGCTGACTTTTTAAAAAGAAAAAATAATTATTTGAAAAACTTTAAAATACATATTTGAAAAATAAAAAAAAATCAAGTATTAGCATATTTTATAATCTTTTTTAAATGTTTAGTTATAATGTTTTTTATTCATTTTGTATAGACAAAACGTGTCAAACGTCGAGATAATAAAAAAATGTTTTTACATTTTAAAAAACGAAACATTCCAAAACATTTTTAAATAATAACATTTCTACATAAATGATTTAAAGTAGTTTTGCGGTAATTAAGTAAATTGGCGCAGTTAATGTCAATAAATATGAAAAGCAAATAAAAAGAATTTAATGACGTCAAAAATCACGTCGTGCTTATGCGTCGCGCAGTTTTTATTCATCACAAGGCTTGATATATATATATACAAATAGTATTGCTTACTAAGATAAGCAATCTGACGTCATACTGAAATAGCCTGCTGCTGGGGGCTTCAGTACATATATCGACTGACAAATAGCCTGACTCGCAGTGGAGTGCTGCTATATCAACTGAGGGTTTGGGATGGGGCAGCAATCTTTTCATTAATCATTCTTTGTTTTTTTTTCTTCTTTTTCTAAAAAACCCATATGGGTTAAAGTAAGCAAAAAAAAGTGAGCAAATGCTTATAAAAATACACTTTAGTATGTGTATATATATATATATATATATATATATATATATATATATATATATATATATATATACACACACACACACACACACATATATATATATATATATATATATATATATATATATATATATATATATATATATATATATATATATATATATATATATATATATATATATATATATATATATATATATATATATATATATATATATATATATATATATATATATATATATATATATATATCAGCCATCAAAATTAGGGTCAACATTCAGCAATACCAACCTAATTGCCAACCTAAAAGTGTTTGCAGTTAGCAAATAATCGCTAACCTCATTTCTATTTTTTTTTGGTAACCTTTTTGTATAAAATTTTTTTTGTCGACCTGATATCGAAATCTAACAGTTTGAGGTCAACAACTTCTTACCGACATCATTTTTCCTAATTCCTAGGGTGGCATATATATTTCAATGTCTTAGCATTTAGCCTTGCACAAAAATTAATAAATAGGAATTTAGCTCTGCCCAAAACACCTTTGATGATACCATACCTTTGATGAAATACCTATCCCATGTAAATTTAGTATATTACAAAAAAAAAATTTGCTATTTGTATCATAAATAGTTAAATAAAAACATGTAACAAACCTTCCCAGGAAACATGTGCGGTTTTTCCACGCTTAAGTATTTTATTTTAGACAACTTGATCATTATAAGTTGCTATGTATTTGTAAAATATGCTTGTATAACTTTAATGTAACAAGTATATATTGTTCTTTATAAAAACGCCTATGTAGTAAAAGTGCACACTTTATACTCTATGTATAACTTTTTGTATTATATAATTATAATTATTTCTTCCTCATTAAAAAAAGGCATAGACTTTATAAACAGAATGTCCATGGTTTGAGACTAACCACTTCCTAATATCTTTTGTTTTTTAACACACGAAGAACCAAATGGTAAAAAGAAATGTATCTTCATTCAAATATAAGGGATAAAAAACATACAGGAAAAGAAAGGTAATATGAAACAATTAAGGCTATGTGTAAGTAATATAAAACAATTATGGCCTAATTGAAGCTTAAAAACTATGTATGTATATGTGTGCGCCTTATTAATAAAATAAACTGGAAGGCTTAAATAGTATAAGAAATCTGAATATAATAAGAAGTGTATAATTCAGAAACAAACAACAAAAAGACTTTTTATATACAAATAAGAAAATATAAATGGTTACAAAGCAAACATATGACCAGCAGTATTTATAAAGAAAAAACAAAAAAAGTGTTGACAGTTGTGGGATTTGAACTAGACATTTCATGTATGAAGATAATGCCTTATCCAAATGAGCTAAACATGCACATACTTAAGATAAAGTAAATATACTTATATAATAATTCAGAGGTTTGATATATATATATAGATATATATATATATATATATATATATATATCAAACCTCTGAATTAAGAAAATAAAGGTCAGTAATAATTTGCCAACTTCAATCTATTTGAGGTTGGCAAAAATTATTTGATACAAAGGTCTGACCATAAAAAATAGAAACGAGGTCGGCAATTTTTTGTTTACCTCAAACGCTTTCAGGTTGGCATTTAGGATGGCATTGCCGAATGCCAAACCGAATTCTGAGGGTTGATATATATATATATATATATATATATATATATATATATATATATATATATACTATATATATATATATATATTATATATATGTATTTATATATATATATATTGTACTCGCTTTTTTGTTTTACTACTGTTATTGGTGAAATATACGTAAATAATTATTAACAATTATTATTATTCAGCAATTTTTTTTCCAAAAAGGTATGCGTTTAAAAGTTTTTTATTTATTATAAAAAATACATTTATAAGAAAAAAACAATTGCATTCTAAAATTTAAAACGAATTTTTAACGACTTAAAAAGAAACTGTACTAAAACATGATTACTTTTTCAATAGCATTATTTTAAAGTTAAATAACTAAGTACGCAACTTGAAAAAGTTTTAGCATGGTTTTTAAATGCATTTACAAAAGCATGAAAATTTTAGTTGAAAAAAATGCATTTGCAATTACATTAAAAGAAACCATGCTAAAACATTGCTTTCTTCAAAAAGCCTTTTTTTTAATTTCTCCATTATCGTTAAAGTGAAGCAACGTTTGTTTGCACACTAAAAACACTTTTAAAAATTTCAAAAAAAAGTTTTATGTTTTGCTAAAATTTATAAAATTTAATAGAATATATAGAGCTATTATGTTTATTATAGTTTTCATTTTTTATTGTACATTTAACAACACCAATAATATGATATTTTTATTGTTAAATACTTAATATTATAAATATAATAATATCATATTAAGTATTTAAAATTAACTTAATATAATAACTTATTAAATACATAATATGATATTTTTAAAGGTAAAAAAAAAGAAATATCAAAACAGCTTTTAGGGTAATAAAAAAGGTATACAAAAATAAATTTAAAAAGGTATAAAAAAGAAATGTCAAAAGAACTTTTATTTTATTCTTACCTCCCTTTTATTTTAATCTCTTTAAACTAATACAATTTTTTATAAGTAAATGAACTAATTAAATTGAGAAAAATTCACTATTTTGTATTAATGGATAACAGTTTACAGTCATAAGGTTATTGCATATTAGTTATCATTAATTTGCGCACCTTTGCAAATGCAAGAAAAATTGTTTTCAAATAAAAATTGATACAATTTAATAAGCATCTTTGATCTATCTAATAACTTATTAACTAAAATATAAGTTATTTGAAAATTTTATAAAAAATCCTTAGATTAAAAAAATTTTTTGAAAATAAAACTGCCTTATTTGACATATATCTCTTAAATTAAACGTTCATTACCAAAAAAACAATTTGTCATGCCCTATAATTGCATAACAATTAATAATAATTATTATTAAAAATGTTCGCCAATAACTGTTATTGTTCACCAATAATATAGTAGATCAAGGGAGGGGGGGTAGAACTAAACACATGGAGTCGAATGTTAAAAAGAAATATGAATGTGAAGTAATGTGTATTATTCAAAAACATACAACAAAAAGATTTTTTATATACAAAAAAGATAAATGATTACAGAGCAAATACATAATATATATATATCAGTGGTATTTAAAAAAAAAAGAATTTTAAAATAGGGCAGTGGGATTTGTCTGACTAAGCTAAGCGTATCCTTATTATCAAAGAAACATATTTATATAATAAAAATATTTATATATAGTTATACATAAAGTATATGCATACATTACTTAGATGTTTTTATATAGGGACAATATATATTTGTTAAACATTAAAATTATACAAATATATAAGTTATACATAAAGTATATGCATACATTACTTAGATGTTTTCATATAGGGACAATATATATATATCTACTATAGCATATTTATATGCGCAATTGCTCACTTTTTTTTGCTAGTCTAAATTAAGTGAGCATTTTTAGAAAACGATGAGGGAAAACGAAGAATAATGAATGAAAATGTTGCTGACCCATACCAAACCCTCAGTCGATGTAGCAGCACTCCACGGCGAATCAGGCTATTTGTCAGTCGATGTATGTACTGAAGCCCCTAGCAGCAGGCTATTTGACATTAGGTGAGTATGACATCATCATGCTCACCTAACTCAGCAGTATAAGATATATACTTGTTAAACATTAAAATTATACAAATATATTTTACAAACAATAGCAATTTATATTTTAAGCCTTTTAAAAAATAAAAAATAATAAATAAAATTTAGCAAAATCACCCTATTTAATGTTGACTTAAACTTTTATTTTTTGCTTTGTTTTATCTAAGTTTGATGCTGAAAATAACAACTATTCTAAAAAAATAAAGACAGTATACAAATTATATAAATTATTAATTTTTTTTTTTAATTTGTTTTAATTTCCTATTTTGTTAGTTTTGCTTTTTTTTTTGAAACTTAGTTTTTTCTGCAACACTTGATATAAAAAAGCTTAAAATAAAATACTCATGCGTGGACATAAAAGACAAAAAACTGCATGCGTTTCCTGGGAAGGCTTTTGTAATATAAGGTATTCTTCCCTATATAATAATTTTCAAATAAAATCAATTATAAAAAAAATAATTCATTGACATTAAACTTTTATAACTTAAAATAAACAAAGATTTAATTAAACTAAACCTAACCCTAGCTCTACTAAAAACAAAGTTAACAATATCCTTAAATTTAACCTTACCATTCTCCAGAAAAATCCTTTGCCTCAAGTTTTGTACCAACTATGATCTTTTGATCTCCTTGCATAAAAAAACTATTTTCGCTTTTTGCACTTTTCTGATTTTTTTTACTCATTTTTAATATAAAAACACTAAAAATCTAAA